AATGTTTTGGTTTTAGGCTCGAACTTCGGATTCCAAACCAATCGATCATCTGAAGAATTCTCGAAATCAGATTCAGAATAAGGCTCAAAACTCGGAAAAAGCAGACGAAAATGTTCCGAAGACTCAAAACGCATCAAGAAAACGGAATAGAGGAGGCCACAGAGGACGTCAAAAAAGCCAGAAATCCGACGGAGATGGCTTAAAGAAGCTATCAGGAGAACTGGGAGCAATGAAACTGAAACAGGAGACTGTAGCAGAGGGGCAGGTTGAAAAACCTCCGATCGATGATGCAAATAGGCTACGTGGAGCTATGAGAAAAAGGGATGGAGCTAGAAGAAATACTGTCAAAGATAATAAAAATGGTACGCAAAATGAAACGGTACTATTTTTTGACCTAGAAATTTCAAAATTGATTCATTTACAGACGGAAGCGGGTCCAGTTGTTGCCAAGCCAGAAATCAATCCAAAAAAGAGAAGATATTGGAGATTTTCGAATAAAAACGACGGAGAGATCAAAAAGAAGACCTCCGATTAATAATGAAAATTCAAAACAATGACTCTGCTTTAACTCTGTTCCTGTTGTGTCTCATAAAAATATAAAATCAGCTTATTTGAATTCAAAATTTCATTCATATATGTTCTTTAAAAGTAGCGATAAAATGAGGCAAAATATAGAAATCACAAAAACTGGGGGGAATTGGCAAATGAGGTCCCTGAATACTGTACCACACTTTTTTTTTCAAAATCACAAAATTCTGAGAAGTTGGGAAGGTTAAAATGAAAATAAATATATACAAGAAGGAGAAAAAATTATGCGAAAATTCTAAAATTTCTAAAGAAAACCTAGTGCATTGTGGGTTTGAATTCTTGGAATTGAGAAGTGGATACTGATAGTGGGGTATGACTGCTGCTCTCACTGCTTCGTGGTCCATCGTTGTTGGAGGTGACTTCGTTGACCTGGCACACTGGTTAATGGGAAAATGTGGAAGAAACACTAGAGTTTTCTAGGTAACAGATGAGGAAATAGGAATTTTACTGTTCACGCTCTAGTACGTGTTTTTTCAAGCTCAAAATAGTGATTTTTCCGGAATTTTCAGCGAATTATTGTCATTTTTGAAGTTTCTTGCAAAATTTCTTCTGATAAAAAATGTTGCAATTCGAATTTAAGAGCTAATTTCAATATTGAAAGTTTGAAAAAAAAATTCCTGTTTGAAACAGTTTCCAAAGGTTGAACCTTTTTTATCTCGTCTACTGAACTTAATCTGTTTGTCCACCCACTACAGTACACCCTTCGCTCTACAAACCTGCGTATCATCCCCATCATCACCGTTTGGGATGTGCTGCTTGATGGATGAGTGAAGTTCATACGGTAGTCCGTTCAAGTTGGCCAAATTGAACAAGGCAAGGAATTGAACGTTGTCGTCTTCTTGTTGGGAGAGGTGCTGGAATCGAATAATTTTCGTAATACGGGTTGAAAATGGCGCAAAATTTGAATAGCTACAAAACATAGTAAATTTCAATGGATAAAGCTATTACTTTCGGAGTATACTAAACAAGAATAGAGCTTCAATTTTTTAATTGGCGATTTTTTTGTGAAAATTCATCCAAATGAGATAAAGCACTTCAAACTGTCATGACTCTGAATTTTGACGCTTGGTATATCTCATCAGGATTTAATTTTTACAAAAAAGTTGTCAACTACAAAATTGAAGCACTAGTTTTGTTAAGTATACTCTATAATTTTCAAAAAAAATTGAACAATTTAAAATTACTTTTTTAGGCATTTTGTCATTTCACTAATAATGGCTGGTACCAAGAAACTTACCTCAATACTTGGTAGCAACAATAAAATCTTGCTAATCCTCATAGACGTTTGAACGGAAGAAAAATGACGATGTTGATGTTGAACATGTTGATAGAGTGCTTCAATGTACTTATCACGAACACGTTTCACATGAGCACGACCCTCTTCGGATAGGCGGCGGTCTGAAAGAAAGGGATGTTCATTTTGATTCGATTTGTCTCGTTTTCTGTGAGAGGTATTGAAATATGGTCAACTGATAAAATTTTCAACATGATTTCAAAAATAGTTTGTTAGTTGACCACTTTTTGTTATCTACTACAGGAACTGAGATAAATTGAATCAAAAATTGGCAACAAACATTTCCCTGTTTCAAATAGCTATGAAGAACACTTGGGATCTCATTTGCTTTGCTTGTTCATTCGTATCCCGAAATCTAAACAAAACAAAACTCACGAGCTCGAAACAAAATGAGTGCTTTGAGAATGACGAATTCTCCCTCATCCATGTCCATATCTCTCATTGGGATCACCAAATCCTCCATCAAATGTTCGCTGAGTATTCGGAAATAATGATTGCATCCCGGGTCCAGCTGTTTTTGGAGCTCTTTGTCTCTGGGGTACCAGCTTCCGTTTACTAGAGCTACACCATCACAGCCGGCTTTGAAGGTCTGCAAATCTATCTTTATCTTGGTTACTGTAAAAGATATCAAATTTTGGTCAACCGATAAAATATTTCTGATACTATTTTAAACATTTTATCAGTGGACAACGTTTCGATATCTTTTAAAGAAAATGAGGTAAATTGGTTTAAAGTTAATGAATCAAAATGTTCTGTTCCAGTTAGCACATAACTTTGGTATGTTATTGGTTTCGTCAGTTAATCGTCTAGTAATTTTTCTCTTGATCCCGGTTACTCACCTTATACGTATGACACAGCCAATTCACTGAAACGACTCGATTCCTTAACAGTGTGAACTGATCGGAATGCGAGAGTTCTTGATAGTCCTTCATGATTTTTGCATAGTCCAGACAGAGAACGAACGATCGACACCATGCGATATGAACGTCTTCTAGGGTGGTTAGACGTTCTAGGGCGAGCCAGCGGGGCTGAAAATGGGGTTTAGGTAGAGATTTTGAGATAAATTGAATTAGTCGAAATTATTTTACAGTTTTGTGAAATTGGGAAAATAGGAATTTCAACAGGAGTTTTCAGTTTTCCTTTGAGCTCAAGCGTCTCGATGTCTAATAAAGATTTTAAAAAATTGTCAACTAATAAAATGTTTATCATGATATCACCAACACTTATGTACTTTGCAGATTTTTTAGATTTTTAATAAACATTTTGAGCAAAATCTTACAAAACAGTTCTCAACCATCGACATAAATCAATAAAATTTCGAAGTCCTCAAAGACGGTTATTTTCATTTAAAATCAGAAAAAAATCAGGATTTTATGGAGCAAGACTATGCATTTTTTGAGTGACGGTATACAGTAATCGATGCTTACCTTGTTGTTGATACCGTACCCCTTTGCACTTTTGGCTCGCTGCGACCATGAGCTCAGTTTGGAAAGCATTTTTGAAAATTTTTCAAAAGTTCCTTAAAGGTGGGGGACAGGAGATTTTACGGGGGATTTTCGGGGCCAGAGTATGCATTCTACCGTGACGGTGTACAACGCTTAATGTCACTCTGCGTACAGCTGTCGTCCTCGCCTTTATGTATGCAATCCGACGGCCGCTTTCTCTTTGCCCGTGTAGCTCAGTCGGTAGCGGCGCCGCACCCTCAATCCTCGCCCTCACAAGTTCAACTCCTCGAGGGGCATCTTTGAACGAAATTTCGAGAACATTATTTTTTTCATGTCCCCCCACCTTTAAGGGACCAAAATTTCAAGATACCGTATTTCCTCTAATAGAAGCCCATGGGACTCTATTCTTCAACCTCTCTCTCTCTCTCTCAGGGTGGGCTTCTTTTAGAGGGTGGGCTTCTATTTTTCAATGACTAATTTTCAAAAAAATTTTGTTCAAAAAAATCAGAAATTTGGCAATTCGGAAGTTAAGAATTTTGAACTTCGAGGTTTTTTTTTTAATTCGAAGTATTCATTCTGCAATTCTAAACTTCAAAATTTGGAATTTATGAAATTCTGAGATTCCAGAATCTCAAAATTCAAAATTCAGCAATTCTGAAGATCAGAAATTGAGTAATTTTCAAGTTCTGAAATATACCAGTTCCAAAAATTATGAAATTTTTAATCACCGTATTTTCTCTAATAAACGCCCATGGACTTCTATTAGAGGTGGGCTTCTATTAGAGGAAATACGGTAACTGTATCTAATTTTACTATCTCAGTTGCCTTATTTCAAATAGAAATTTTCGAATCTTTTCAATCCTGGACTGCTTCAACCACCCGAAAAAGATCTTACCGGTGTCCTCTTTGCTACAACTCCAGGCTGTCGAAACGCCGCTTCAATCGTAACATCCACTCGACACAACTGATCAAACTCCATGCTCATAAAATCACAATTCTCATCGATTAAATTATCAGTGGCTCTTTCCAAATCGATCAAATATCTGACCAGCGGTACGTGAGACTGAGCATGTGATGCGGATTGTTCGACGACGGGCGGAACGGATTGATCTCGCATTATTAGGTTTTCCGAGAATGATCTACTGACAATTCCAGGGATATTTTGATAGTTGAATGAGGTCGTTGTGGGTGTTTGAGATGTTGAAGTGGAGGGGATGGAAATTGGCTGAAACTTTTGTAGTTGTGGAAAATATCTCACAATTATAGATGATGCCTCTAGATGCAATTATGGGAATTTTGAAGCATAAATTTTTTGGGTTTGTGAAATATCTCTGACCGAGTTTCTCTTGGTTCCTATAAGAGATATAAAAAGTAGCTAACTGACGAAATGCTAATCATAAAATCAGAAATATTTTATCAGTTGACCGCTTTTCGATATCTTTCATAAGAACCATGATACATTGCCTAAAAGTTGAATACACCATTACCGTAGCCGAAGTTGGATATGTTGGTGATCCACTCTCGTCATCTTTCGGATTCTTCTTATGCTTATCTCTTTCCGACTGCACCGCTCTCGCGTCCATCCCAACTGTGAAGCACTTTCTCAGACGACACGCTCGACACCGATTGCGGTACTCCTGGACTATCAAACATTTTCCACCAAATCGACATACATAGTCTCGTTGTTCCCAGATACTGAAAAATGAAAAATCACGGATCATATACCGATTATGTGAGTTATTCGATTTGATTTGAAAAAGAGGTCGTGAAACGGCGAATTCGTGAATTTCGATAACATTCATTTTGTTTTGTGTAAAAGATATCAAATTATAGTCAACTGATAAGTATTCATCATAATATCAGAAATTTTTGTCAGTTGATTGCTTCTTGATATCTTTATCTTTTTGATTCAGTTTTTGAAATGATAGTCATAAACAATACAAAATAAAATACACTAAATTCCAAGGTGTATAATATTTGTTTGAAACAGGAACTTTTGAGGCTCCGCCCGCAAAAGTGCCACCTAACTTAGACTCAATTTATCTCGATTCCTATGAGAGATATCAAAAAGTGATCAACGGACAAAATGTTTATCACACTATCAGTAACTTTTTATCAGTTGACAACTTTTCGATATCTCTTACAGAAGCCGGGATAAATTGGTTCAAAGGTCCTTACCTCCTTCTAAAGAATCCTTTACATCCATTACACGCAATGGTCCCATAGTGACGTCCAGCTCGTGAATCACCACAAACCCGACATTTCATTCCGGTGAACTCTGAAAGATTGGAACACATTAAATTGGTCAAAATTAATTCACAGTTTTGTGAAATTGGTAAAATAGGAATTTTACAGAACATTTCTGTACCACGCGATTGATCTTTGAGCACAATTAATTCGGTTCCTAGAAGAGATACCAAAAATCTGTCAACTGATAAAATTTTATCATATTGTCAAAAATATTTTTGTCAGTTGATCACTTTTTGATATCTCTTATAGGAACTGAGATAATTGAGCTCAAACTGCAGAGATACCTTACCTTCAGCTTTAATCAAATACTCAAACTTTTTCTCCAGCATCCTGACAACAGTACACAACACAAAATACACAGACTAGACTAATTTTGTCCTCCGAATACGCAAAATGGCGATTATTCTGACCTGTTTTGTTTCTATATACATACACTTGATTGCGCAGCGTTTCTCACTTTTCCCCGTTTGCTTCTCTGGCGTCTCTACGGGGGAATACTCTCTCGTCAGACGGGGGAATCCCCCCGGCAAGTTGATCTTTTGATATTGGCCTGTCCAATGAAACAGAAACAGGTGTAATACATTTGTATTGTTGTAATCTAATTCTTGTTATATTGGGCGGAAAGCAGTGTGCATATAGCATATAGTAGACTGTATTTAGGAGGAAAAGCGGGACGGGGAGTCTTCAAAAATTTGAAAAAGAGACCAAAAGATCAAATTTTGGACCCTTTAGATGTTATCTATATTAGTGGGGAATACCCCTTTATTTGACCTTTAAAGGCGCAGATACAGATAATAGTAAATGATAAAACCATATAGGTCATGCACGTGAAGGAGAGGTGACCCTTGTAATAGAAGGGTCCTAAAAATCCAGAAAAATGGAAATATTTGAAAACGGATTTCAAGAAAAGATGCTTTTTATTAAAAATTTTTAAGGCTCTTTGATACCTACTGAGCTACGGTGGAAAAATTCTACAGTTTCATGATTTCAACAAAAATACACAAAACTTTTTATTTTGTTTAGTTTGAAGTTGTAATATCTTTTTCTAGATTATTCGAACGATGGTGTGTCTGAAAGCGCCACGACAACAATGTACTGTATGAACACTAATAACTTTACATCATCATGTCAAAATGCATACTGTAACTCCGAAAAAACTCAAAAAAATCTCTTACGGCTTCCTAATTTGTTAAGGTTTTCAAAAACTTTTCGTTTTTATTTATCCCAATTAAAAGACCTCCCACATTGAAGCTGAATCGAAGATTGGTTTTTTTCCGTTTTAATGAAAAACAAGAGATCATTTGGCGCGTATCAAAACTAATGACAGAAAAGCACAATTATAGAAAACTTGAATCGGAAAAATGTTTGATTATCAAACTAATACATTGAGAACTAGATTCTTGTATCCATTAACAAATTAAAGTGAATTATTGCTCTGTGATAAAATACGGTAGTTTGCTCTTGCTCCTATTAATCTGCCTTTGAGAAGGGCCCCAGTCAAGAGTGTAATAAAGTCCATCATTAGATTGAGAATACAATTTGGAAATGAAACAGAAAACTTTCAAAAAATTTCAGACTAAACATCCTAATATTTTTTTTTTGTCAGGAATTAACATTTCGTGTTTAGATATCAAAATGCGATTTCATAATTGGTATTCGTATTGCATTTGAAAAGTAAAATTTAAAAAAGAAAACACTGTTTTTGTAAGTCGAATTCGTCGAATAAAGTCTACAGTAGTTTAAACATTAAACTTGTAAATAAAACAGAAAAATTTCGAAAAAAATTAGGCTAAATAGCCTAGAACATTGTTAGAAAGTGAAATTCAATGTTTTAGAACTGGGATATAAAAATGTACTGTTAAAAATGCACATTAAACCGTTTCGTTAAACCGTTCATGAATTGTTTAAAAAAGTCTTTCAAGCAGATGGACTAAATGTAAAAGGCACCGGCTGAGCTACGCGTTAGTTTTCTTCCATGGACGATGTATCATAATGAGTGACAGAAAATCACAATTATAGAAAACTTAAATCGGATTTTTTTTCTCAAATATCACGTATTTGGAATTCCAAATTGGAAAACTAGATTTTTGAGTGTTTACTAAAAAGTTAGTCGGTTAACGTCTAACAAGTTCACAATAAGGTTAAGAACAAAATTTGAAAATGAAACAGAATACTTGAAACAGATAATGTTTTGGCTAATCAGCCTAGAACATTTTCAGAAACTAACATTCCATGTTTCACAAGTGGGATATGAAAATGCGCCGTTAAAAATGCATATTAGAGTATTTAATCGGTAATATAACTAAAAATTGCGTTTCTCGAAATCCGGCCCTTTCAGAAAAATTACTGTTTTTGAGACCACAAGAAGTTAGTGGAAATATTGTGGATATCAGTGAAGGATTTGCAACAGGGTTCGTCCAAAACATCCGAAAACTTTGCTGCCCCCTTTAAACCTATTTTTGTGAAAGAAAAAATTAGGTTTCACTTGTATGTTATGAGTTTCACTTGTATGTTCCGCTTTAATGGTGTTCTGTTTAAAAGTTGAAAATCTGGAAAAACAGATTTCTAAAATTTTGCTGTTGCAATATTTTGATTTGCATGGGTTTTCCAAAATTTATATGATTACATTGGCAACGGAGTAAAAAATTCCCATAATCCTTACATTTTTAAAGAATCGGTTTTTCAAAGTTTCGAAACTTATATTTTTAGACCCATTTTTTTGAACTTGAAGTTTGTATGGGTTTCTAAACGGAATTCATTTTTCAAGAAACCTATCAGCTTTGACATCAATTACCTCAGTTTCTGTGAAAGATATCAAAAAACGATCAACTAATGAAATGTGTGTAGTTTTATGATAAACATTTCATCAATTAACGAAATCTTGATATCTCTTTAAGGGACCGAGATAATTGAGCTCAACTTTCAAGTATGGGTTAGAGCATTTAGTTCTGTCTACAGCGTATCTGAAGTCTGATCTATGATTTCATTTCTGATACATCATTAAACCACGTGGCTTTTTGTTTGAATACCTAAAGGTTTTATTTGGTTAGTGACAGAGGTTACAAAACTTGAATTGGCTGTGTAACCATAATTGGTTGATAAACATGTTGCTCTTTTTTCTATTTGCTCAAGAAATGCGATTTTTTTCGTCGGAAAAGTGCAAACTACTGGTTTTGTATTTTGGAAAAAAGTAGATGGAAGGGGTCAGGGGCTAATTTAAAAGGTAAATAAAAATACTGAATTAAAAAAATCAGTTTCATTTATGTTTTTTTATAAATTTAATTAATTTTTCTGTATTACTGTAGATGTTGGATGACGATTGATAAATTGAACTAAAAACTAACCACTTTGCATATTCGCCATTGAGTTCGGTATGTCCAGCAAGCCTTCTTCGGTTTTGGGATTCAAAAATTCCACAGATCTCGGGACGATACAAATGGGCGGAGCTTGAGCGACTGATGCCGCTATGGCTCTGTCAGCTGATGACATTTGGGCCGCGCCGGCCGCCGTGACCACTCCTTTCAGGGTTGATGTGCATGCTTGGGAGTCGGATGACAGGATCGAGTCGGTCACTGAAAAATTATAATGATGATTTGATTTTTGTTTCAATTTTTTCGTACAAGTTCGTCCAAATGAGATACACCGCTTGGCAGGACCCTAGACTCTATCACATCGTTGGCTTCAAGCGCTACATCTCATTTAGACGAATTTGTACAAAAACTAATCAATTACAAACTTGAAGCTCTGTTTTTGTTTAGTGTGCTTCAAAATATTTTTGAAAAATCGAACAATTTTGAACCACTTTTGTAGCGCATCAAAGTTGACTATTTTTTACAGAAAATTTAAAATGTGCATTTTTCACTTTTATGACACAATATCTTCTGAAAGTTTTACAGTTTCACGATTTCACAAAGAACGCACGATACGTTTTATTTTAGTTCGATGATGTAGCTTCTTTGCAACTATCTAGTTTGTTTCAGTGAAATCAGATAAATTCAGAACGGAATAATAACAATTTCATCATCCGTTTTATGTTAATAATTTGAAACAGAAGAATACGAAATTCGCTGCTAGGTTTTGAACTTATGTACCTTCCAATAATGAAGGAACGTCCTTTTAAACCAATTCATTTCAAGGGGAGAAAAGTTCGGTTTCACTTGTATCATATGATATTTTGGTGCCATTCATTTTTTAGTCACTCTTGGACATAAATACTTTTCAAGCCGCTATCAGTACAATAATTTCACAGAATTTTTCTTTCAAAATCCTAGTAAGCTAAAGCGGTGACTGAATCACTATTACCAGGAACCTTTTAAAAAATAAATGAATACTTGGAAACAGAAAAACTTTCACAAAAAAAATTTTCATTATTTTTATTAATTTTTTTCTACTTCAAAAACTAGAAATTAGATGTTCCAATTGTTCAAATTGCTGATTCTTTGTAACTACTTTTGAGAAATTATTTAACTAAACAACTTTTTTTGCATTTTCAACGAATTTCGATATTTCTTGAATTATTGAAAAAAGAAACCACTTTGATACCTAGGTTTTTAATCTGCACGACTTCACCCAATTAAAGGGGGACTCCGACCAAAAATTTTTATTGCATTAAAATGTGTTAAAAGTTATCTATTTTCCGAGAATTATTGCGAAAAAATTCAAAAAAAAATCCGAAATTCCCAAAAAACGCCGTTGAAAAGGAAGAAAATTCAAAAAAAGGTGCCGCCGGGGGACGAGGATTTTCAGTGAGAAACCACGGCAGCGGGCGCCTTTCCTATGTGGCAAATTTTCCGGATTTTTTTTCAATTTCATGTCCGGCAGGTAAAAAACGTAAAAAACCACTGTCGGCGACTTGAAAAAAGGCTGTCAGGTGCCGTGGCCTAGGTTTCTCACTGAAAATCCTCGTCCCCCGGCGGCACCTTTTTTTGAATTTTCGTCCTTTTCAACGCCGTTTTTCGGGGATTTCGGATTTTTTTTTTTGAATTTTTTCGCAATAATTCTCGGAAAATAGATAAATTTTAACACATTTTAATGCAATAAAAATTTCTGGTCAGAGTCCCCCTTTAAACTTTTTTCATAGAAAAGCAAATTTGTGAACAATTTGGATCATAAAAAATTATGTTTTTGAAAACTCACAATCTAATGGCATTACCGGCGGCGAGAGTTTGGGTCGTTTCCGCGCTGGCTCCAGTGCCGATGACGTGTTCGGACGGCGATGCGTAGTGGAAACCGATGGTGAGCCGTTGTGGCTGAAAATGTGAAATTTTTAGATGAGAATGTGGATGTTGGATATGTTTTTTAGGAAATTTTAGACAATATGAAAATGCCCGTCTCAAATAATCTAGAATAACGATTAGATAGTTTATAATAGCGATTATTGCAATCTGAGAGCTCCGAAGTTGCGTAAATTTCTATAAACTTTCTATAAAATGATTTTTAGATTAAGATTCCTACCAGTCGGTTTGAGCCCCCTGCCGGGGGCGCAACCTCCTGGTTTTGTTTACTTTATCTTACATTTGAATTCCTAATTTCAGAAATTCCCACTTTCCGTGTGTCCGAAATTTCCAAGTTTCTTTATTTTCAAAAGTTATATTTTCCCGATATCGGAATTTTTGAATACCGCACAATAGATGCCCACATGTAGAATCTCTTGTTATTTTCTAGAATGTTCCTGGATTTTCTGATTACTGATCGTTAGGGTTTCTGAAATTCAGATGACATGAAGCGCTCGGCAGTCCATGACTACATACCACACACCACTATAGGAGTCCCACGTCCCTTTGAGTTATTCAAGTAAATGTCCAAGACGGACACACAGACACACACACAGAAAAGTTTCCTTAGTAAGAAGTAGATATCAGGATATGGATTTTGGAAGTTTGGGAAAAAACCTGTTAAAATTGTTAAGCGATTAATCTTTCCGCCCTCTTATGATTATATTTTTTCTTGATTTACCAAAATTCTCAGTATGAATAAATCGGTGTTACCAATGTTACCAAGAACATGGTGGAACGGCAACAGCAAACAATTTTTCGTCGTATTTTGAGCTACACAGCTCAAAAACCAGATTACTGTGACCTCATGGTAATATGAATAATTTTAATGAGGGACGATTTCAGAGTACTGATTTTTAGATTAGGACGATTATTTTGAAGTTTGTGGGAAGATCTCGAAATTAGGTTTTTCTTAAAAACTAAATCTGTTTCAGATAAGTCATAATGAAGAACTTTTGAAATGAACGTATTAATATAATTGTAAGAGGAAAAATCGAGAATATTTCGAAGAACTGATTTTTAGATGCGGGATGTGGATTCTGGAAGTTTGAAACAATTGATAGGGTTTAGAATTTTATATTTTTTAATAATATTTTACCAGTTTCAACTAATTCATAATTAGAGACGTTAAGGGAAGCATGCAATCAGATGCTCTTTATCAGTAGGAATAATCCCGCATTTTTACAAAAAATTGTTAATGAAGATCCAATTTGTTCAGTATAGCCCTAAATTTTCAGACAATTCGAAAAATTCTGGAGAAGTTTTTCAGGACGTCTTTAAAATTGACAAAGTCCACACAAAAACCAGAATATCAAAATCTTAGCAATAAGATATTGAAAACAATTAGAGTAAATGACTATAGGGAAACAGAAAAATTTTGATACAAAAGAATAGTTAAAAACTTCAATACCAAATCAATGCAACCAAAAAACCAAAACCATATTTAAAAAATTTTTATAACTAAAAAATCTCCGTTTTCCTACTGATCAGGGCACAAGTTGACCTCGTGTATGTGTGTGTCTATTCCCCTACATGTTTTCTCTATTTCTCACTTTTTTTTTCAAAAATCTACTCCCTTTAATTCCAACACTGTCTCTTTTCACTGCGCAAGTTCAAACGTTCAAAATTGACGATCCGATCGGTGAGAGAGTGTGGAGAATTGAGAGAGCGCAGAGAAGATGAAAAATTCGAGAGAGTGTCACGTGACGAAGAGATTCAGATGTGCAAAGGGATTCATGAAGAATCGTGTATGTTAACACCGAAATGTCTCCCCGATATGGAGATTAGACAACTAGGTGATCAAACTATGATGATTTATTTTTGGGTACTTTTGAATCTTTGATATTTTGGAATTGAAAAGTAAAGAATAAGTTTTTCAAAAAATTATTCAGTTTCATGAAGGTTCTATTAGTTTTTGCAGAAAATTTGGATTTTATTAAAGGTGGGGGGACAGGAGATTTTTCGTAGTTTTTTTGTAGCTAGGTTATGCATTCTACCGTCACGGTGTACAACACTTAATGTCACTCTGCGTACATCTGTCGTCCTCGCCTTTATGTATGCAATCGAACGTGCACTTTCTCTTTGCCCGCATGGCTCAGTCGGTAGCGGCGCCGCACCCTCAATCATCGCCCTCACAAGTTCATCTCCTCGAGGGGCATCTTTGAACGGAATTTCGAGAACATTATTTTTTTCATGTCCCCCCCCCCCACCTTTAAGTAAACGTATTGAAACTCAAAAGTTTAAAAGCTTCTTCAGTCTTATGGTCCCTTACAATGGGTTTTTGAATTTTTTCGATTTCTCAAAGATAAAAGTGTTTCACAGTTTCGCTCAACAACGCCTGCAAATATAAGAACTCTGAATTGGAATTGTCAAAGACTTGAAAAAAATTAACGACTCTCGAATTAGAAAATTTCGAGCTCAAAGCGAAATAGTATATTTTTTTCGAAAATTGGAAAAAATTGAGAAAGTTTACATAGGAAATTTAAAAATTTACAGGGATTCAAGAAAAAAGTTTGGAGAACTGTCTAAAATTGTAGAAAGTTTTTTTTCAGGGAATTTCAAAAATGTCAAATTTTGATAAATATAGAATCTTACAGTTTCACTAAATTCAGATAAAGTTTCTATAAATAGGGTGAAACATTCCGGTGTGTAGCAAACATGAGCGGAATAAAATTTTTTGAAAATCCGAAAGTAGGAATAAGGAATAAGGAACAAACATTGAAAATCAGGAATAAGGAAGAAGGAATAAGGAACAGAATTTCAAAAAAAACCGAATTTTTTTTCGCAATTTTCTGATAAAACATGTGAAAGAGGAATTTAGCCTTCATTAAACGACTTTTTAAATGGTAGTTTAGGTTTAGAAAGCGTTTTTCTAATTTTAAATGTTAAATTTAAAATTGTTCGAATTATCCGGAAGAATGAGAAAAAATCAGGAATAAGGAATAAAAATTAAATAATCCGGAAGAAGGAATAAGGAATAAGAAATTCCGCTCAGGTCTGGTGTGTAGTTTAGGGAACTATGATTAATTCCGAAAAAAATAGATTAGAAAAATGATAAAATTATTAGAAATGTCCAATCGGAAGCGTTAGAAACGAAATTTACAGATGGTGAGCGGTGAAATTTTGCTTAATTTTGTAAAAATATGTAGATTCACATTTATCAATCTTTTTTTCAAATTGGAACTTTTCAGAACATAATGAAACATCAATGTGCAGTAGTAGAACTGTAAGTTCGACCGTATTTTTTAGTTTTTCAGCTACGCGGTTATGGAAACTCAATAAAGAGGTCTCATTGGAACAAAAAGAAGTGGAAGTTAGCGGATTTTTCAGATTCGAAATTAAGTTTTGTGAAAAATTCTTCGGGATTTTGAAAATTGATGTCCAATTCTGACAGAAAGCCAAATTACAGTTAAATCCTATCGAAATAGAAAAAGCAACATTTTTTCATTGATATCTTCCAAGGAAGTCAAACCTAAACTTCTAGAACTTGCAAATTTTTCTATAACATCATTGAAACAGGACATTTTTTTTGGAAAAATCGGAAAATCGAAGACTAGATTCTAGTTTAACCTTCTTGCGAGAATCATGGAAAAAGTGGAAAATGATAAAAAGGAATTTCAAAATTTCAGGTTTTTTTGTTGGTATTTTAACACTTCAAAACTAACAAATCTAGGAAAAGCGGGTTGAATTATTGCCTAGACATATTGCAAGTTTATCAATTTCCTATGAACTCTTTGAAACGGTAATTTTGTTTTTTTTTTTCTTCAAATTTCTATGAATTATCAGAAACTTGACATTTGATTCAGCAGTATAGTGCCATACAAAAATGTCATTTTTTGGATTTTTTTTGCAATAGAAATTTGTGATTTTCAGTTCTAACGATCCAATGATTTATTAATCTTTAATTGCCCAAAAAGTTACATAACTAGAAAAGAAATCTAATTGAAACAGTAGGAAATTTAAAAAGAATTAAAATGTCAGCAACATTTTTATAGAGACAATCGAAACAAAACCCGACACACACACACACACACACAAAATACACATAATCAGTGTAAAACTCTTTTTTTCGAAGAGAGAGAGAGAGAAAGAGAAAGAGAGAAAGAGAAAGAGAGAGGGAGAGAGAGAGGGGGAGAGAGAGAGAGAGAGAGAGAGAGAGAAAAGTGGAAACTTTTCGTCCTTTCGTCTTGCCCCGAGACGGTTTGTTTGTACAACTTTGCGACGAGAGACAATTTTGTAAAAGAGACGCAGATAGCGAGAGAATCAGAAGATCAAAATGAGAAGACATTCCACGTGGGGACGGTCAATAGGAGGTCAGGATCTTTGGTCGATTTTGAATTGCCGCCGCTAGGAATGAAAAAAAGTTTTATAGGATCAGAAAAATAGAAAATACACAAAGACCTTGGTTTGTTGGACAGACTGAGAGGGGTACTAAAGTTTGCACTGAACAAAATAAAAAAATAATCCAGAGAAGAAAGTGATATCACTTGTTGAGGAGGAATCAATAGTCGACTGGCTACGCAGTCAGATCACTAGAAGAATAGAGAGGAAATACCAGTTGGAGAATGGAAAAAGTGACGATGTTTTTTGTGGAAAATGTCGGAGATCGAAATTTACAAACCAGTGCAAGCAATATTAAGGTTAGGTCCACCTCAATTTTATGACAAACTTGAAATAGCAAATTTTTTGGGAGGTTAGTATTTTTGGATTTTGAAAATTGGGAAACCTCGCCCAATAAAAATCATAGCATCGTACAACGAAAATTAGCCAGTTTAATGGTGAAACTGGAACATGACTTTTTTTGGAGCGAAAGTACGTAATTTGTCGTACTTTTTGGACACTCCAGCTTGCGCCACCGTTGCTCAGCTTGTAGCAACGCTCGCAAGCTCAACTCCATGAGGAATAGAGTTTCAGGAAAAACGTAATTTAAAGTCCCTGAACCTTTTTCTGAATTTTTAGATTTATATGAAAGAAAA